TTTAAAGTCTCCAGTCGCATGGGATAACAAGGGGAATATGTTTTGTTTCTTATTAAATATGGGCTAATTTTAGCTTGGTCATGTCTCTGAGCCAGTAATTAATTACATCAAATTATTTACATTTTCCAAAGGGCAAGCTACTGAGTTTCTCTAAGCTCTTGTCTATTCTGAAATTATTTGTTTTTGTTTCAATGCATTAACTCTCCCCAAATTAAAAGTTTAATCCAGATGTGGACCCCATGCTCACTGTGACAGTTACACCTCACTGTTGAGGCCAAAAGAAGAACGAAACGATCGTCTGGGGTTTCTGTATCTCTCCTGCAGAGGGAACTTGCAGACATTTTGATTCTGAACTACCTGTACGGATGGTATCAGTCTGATATGCTTCATTAATGTTCTCTCTGCAATGGCACAAGTAAACAAAAATTATTTTGATACCTTAGCAAGGATTTACTGAAGGACAAGCTACTGTGTTCCTCTAAACTGTTGTCTCAGAGTTCTGATATTCTTTGTATTTACAACATACAGCAATATGCATATAATTTTGGCAGGTGATAGGGGGTTTATTGGTGAATATATATTGCACCTTAATAATAATAATGACAACAACAAATTCTTTATTATGGCAACTACTATCAAAACATACCTAATCTGTAATCTATATATAGTGGTTCATTGTGATACTACCAAGTATAAGATTTGCAAAAAGAAAAAAAATGAGACATATAAGTAATATCTGGTTTCTGACTGCAAAGTATTACATCTGAGTCAATGACATGATGATGTTAAGAAGAACTTTGTAACAATTGCACTTTATGAGGTGCAAGTCATATAAAACTCTCATTATTGGAAATAATTCTTGAACCTATAGAATAGGGAAGAAGAAAATCTGAAAACATTAGGTATAAAAAGATAAACTGAATGAGTAATTTAGCCAATAATGCCAATTAGAAAGAAATGTTTTACACCAACTTCAGTAATAAGTTAGATGGAATTACTAACATTATTAAGAAGAATTATCTGTACTTGCCCTGGAGCAAACCTGACAAAAATGTCCAAAGGAATCAAATTCATAGTCAGTAAATCCAAAATGCTGGCAAAATGTAATCATACATTTTCTTTGAACCTCAGAAAAGAATGCCGGCCGGGCATGTATGTGATATAACACATTTGACAATTGCAATTATGGCACTATGATTTAGCTGATCACCAGTAACAAATGTTATAGTCCAGTCTTATAGACCAGTGAAGGAACATATAATTCCTTCAACTGAATCTTTCTTTATTTCATAATGTTAGAATCTGGAAATTAAGATTTTATTTAGATTTTTACAAGTTGTTTTACACAGGTTAACATTTTGTATGTGGAAATATTCTTGTTGTGAAACAATAATTCATGACACAAAGCATAAAGGTGCTTGTTATAAAAACATATTCAAATTCATATCCTCATTTCTATCAAATCAACTAAGACAAACTACTGCATTTAACAGTTACAAAACATACATATATTCAAGAGGATGGAATACTTAAGGTACGCATTATAGTTTAATGAAGATTAAATATTGACAGATATAAGACATTTATAATGATTGATCTGTATCATTATTGATAAAGCATTCTGTAAACCATGGCAAATTGGGAATTTGCTTTTGGTGATTAAACTGATTTAAATACATGTATGTAGCTGCAAGAGCTAAGCCTCTGGGTAAGAAGATGAGGTGGACTAGCTATGCATAAAAAGTTGAGACACTGATGCCCAAATGAAGAGGATGAACTACAATAGTCAAAGAGCTAAAATTATATAAGCTGCAAGCATCATCAAGAAACAGTATGGTGACAAAACACAAACCGCTAAACAGTTTTATGTTCACATAAAACTGGACATATACAGAATATATAGAACAATTCTATATTCTAACACAATCAAATTACTTGCAGTGCAAAATGGTTACTTTTCATAAACAGATACACAGACACATACACTGCAAAACCGCGTTTAAATATGTATATTGTGAACTGCAGCACAGCTACTAACATTATGCAGATAATACCTTCCTTCATTCCTTCCTTTCTCCCTCCATTCCTTCATTTCTTCTCCCTTCCTTCCTTCCTTCCTCCCTCCCTTCATTCATTCATTCCTTCCTTCCTTCCCCCCTTCCTTCCTTCCTTCCTCCCTGTCTTTCTTCCTTCCTTCCTTCCTCAGAGGGAAGGTCGGTGTAAGAAAAAATGCAATTTGAGATCCAATCCATCATAATTTGCACTTGTCTATAAAATCGTGAATGTTAGAAACATTGTTGAGCCCTTTGCACGTTAGCATCTTTACTATAATGTTTGCTGCCTGCAACTTGAACATATAAACAATTTAATATAGGCTAGGAAAGACACCGAACAATATATTGCAACACATAAATGTATTTAGTAATGCAAGTCCATCCTCAGCTTAAATCTTTCAGTCTTGACTCCCAATGAATGTTCTTCGCACTTAATGAAGTATTTTACAGACTGTCCAAAGCTCTTCGTCTTCTTAATGAGAAATTTAAATGACATGATTTTCACAGCTTTGGATATCTTCAGCAAAGAAGAGTTTTCTATGAAGTCCCAGCTTTTCTTTAAGGTTCATCTATTGACATTAATTTGATTTAGAAAGGGTGGTTACTGTAAAACAGTAATCAGCTAAAAGTAAAAGGCTTTCAAACAGCATTAAAAGTACTGGTTAGCTGTTAAATGTTGTTGTTTTTTCTTCTTCTTTTTCTTGTGGTAATTTTCTGTGAAATGTCTTAGATTATTAGCATCAAGATCCACATCAGGATTCATGAAGCAATAAATCAGTAAATGGCACAGGGGCAACACAATGCTGACATTAAACCATATGCTTTCCTCAAAGCAATAAATCTATACACAACTTAAAATATCTCTGTATAAAAATAATACAGTTGGAAATGGATGAACACTGCCACAAACTTTTCAAGAAATATAGTTTTGTTTTGTTTGCTGCACATATAGCTATGTGAATGCAACTGCTAAACATATAGATTTTTTTTTCAATATAAAATAAGGTTTATTTACCTAATCATTGGCTTGAAGTATTATAAATTCACAAAATCAGAATCTTGACTTTTAAGACTGAATTTATCATTGCAATGTTTTATTTCAAATCTGTCCTGTATGAGAGACCCAGAAGAGTGGCCACACAGAGTGCCATGGCAACAGAGGCGCCAGGTGGCCTTACAGCTCACCCACCCCAAAGGCTGCCTATTTTACAGCCAGCTGTCAGCTGTGGATTCTTATGGCCAGAGAGATGCACTGTAAATGTACTGTAAATTGCTCACTCAAAATTTCCTGCATGCTAAGGCTGATGCACATATTCACCACAAGGTGCCTGTATAATGGGGGGCCCTACCGGCTTCAGAGACAGCTTTTCTCTGATACCAGTGGACCGTTGGATTGCAAGGGGGTGTCTGGGAGATTGTATCATGGGAGTTTATTGCTTCCTGGAATAAATTAGAGCGTTGCCACAGATTACTGTAGCAACACTCTGATTCATCACTAGTGCCTGCTTACGGAGCACTGCACTCAACACGCAGGGCTGAGTGATACTGGACCAGCAGGGGACAACTTTATTTCCTACTTCAAGGTAAGCAAGAGCAGGGGGGGGGAAGAGGAATAAAATATATATATTTTTAAATAATTGTTTTCATAATCACACTCTACAAAAACCTATAGCCCCTACCACCAAACTCTACAGTCTCTGTCCCCCACTACATGATGCCCTCCCCAGATCATCTTCAGACACAACAGTCGCTATTCTCCTCTACTCACCTGTCTAGATCTGCCCACAACCCCTTATGTTACAGCTCCTTCCTAACCACACTTCAGCCCCTACCCTCTATACTACAGCTCCTAACATATGCACTACAGCCCCTACTTCCCTCTACATTATATCCTTTAACCCTTACACTACAGCCCACAACCCCCTACACTACAGCCCCTATCTCTCCACACTGTAGTCCATCACACACAATCTAGCCCCTCTTACTCAAAAACACATACATACATAACTGCTCATTCCACACCAAGCAAAAAATGCCCACATTCATTATGTTATGCAGTGTGTGTAGTGAATGCAGTGTCTGTGTAGTGGATGCAGAGTATGTATTTGTGTAGTGGATGCAGTGTGTGCAGTGGCTGCAGTGGCTGTGGATTGCATGCAATGTGTGTAGTGAATGCATTGTGTGTCTGTATAGTGGATACAGCGTGTGTGTATTTTGTAATGGATGCAGTGCGTGGATAGCGGATGCAGAGCGTGTGTGTGTGTGTATAGTGGATGCAGTGTATGTGTATAGTGGATGTAGTGTGTGTGTGTAGTGTTAGTTAGCCTGGTACATTTAAATACCTTTCAAATATTACTAGTACTGGTAGATGGTCTTCAGGGTTAACGCTGCAGAAGATTAAAATATTCTCTCCAGATATACACAACACAAATTAGATGCTGTACAGACAGTGTATGGGTCCTTTTCTTTTTAATCTTCCGTTCTCTTGATCATTCATAAGATTTCTCACCGTGCTTGCTCTGGCCACTGGCTTCTCCATGATTTACCATAGGCATCACATATCTTCAATGAGAGCAGACCCATGCATCCCATGGCTTCGGTGCTCACAAAGTGCAGACATAATGAAGTTTTCATTCCTCTCCCTGTGTCTATTTTCTCAGTTGGTTTCTATTTAACATGTACAGTTCAGAAAACTCAAAATTGCATTAGCATGGCTGATTTTTGCACATTTCGGCCATTCTAACCCTGCCTTCTGAGGTGCTGGCGGTGCCCCAGCTGCGTTGGCGACCTCTTCTTCCTCCTCTGCCTTCACCTTGTGCTTCCACTGAACCCCCGGTGTCAGTAGGGAATGCCCTCAGCAGCGCATCTTCCAGCATGCGCTTGTAGTCGATCACGCTCCAGTGAGGGAATTAAGGGCGGCACGTTGTCCTTGTAACGGGGATCCAGCAGGCTGGCCACCCAGTAATCAGCACAAGTTAGAATGTGGGCAACTCGGCAGTCATTGCGCAGGCACTTTGGTGACTCTAGATAACCTTGGGCCGATCACACGTCCCATTGACGGCAACAACGTATTCGGATGTCTGCCCTATCAACTTTCGATTGTACTTTCTGCACCTGCCATGGTGACCACAGGTAACGGGGAATCAGAGTTCGATTCCGGAGAGGGAGCCTGAGAAACAGCTGCCACATCCAAGGAAGGCAGCAGGCGCACAAATTACCCACTCCAGACGTGGAGAGGTAGTGATGATAAATAACAAGGCCCTGTAGTTGGAATGAGTACACTTTAAATCTTTTAACAAGGATCTATTGGAGGGCAAGTCTGGTGCAGAGCGACTGACCCGTGCATGCTGAAGCTATAACTCCACTATCGCCTGCTGCTGCTCGCATGGTCTCTCCGGCATGTGCAAGGTGGAGTTGCACCTTGTGGGCACGTCGCATATGAGGCGGTGAGTGGGAAGGCCAAAGTTACGCTGCAGCGCAGGCAGGCGAGCAGCAGCAGGGTAAGAACGCCGAAAGCGCGCACAGATGGCCCGCACTTTCTGCAGCAGCTCTGATATATCTGGATAGTTTTTCAGGAATTTCTGCACCACCAAATTCAGCACATGCGCCAGCCAAGGGATGTGCGTCAAACCGGCTAGGCCCAGAGCTGCTACGAGATTTTGCCCATTATCGCACACCACCAGGCCGGGCTTGAGGCTCAGTGGCAACAACCACTCATCGATATGTTGTTCCATGCCCGTCCACAGCTCCTGCGTGGTGTGGGGTTTTTCCCCCAAACATGTGAGTTTTAAAACAGCCTGCTGTCATTTCCCCCTGGCTGTGCTGAGGTTGATGGTGAAGGTGTACGCTGACCGGATGAGGAGGTGGTAGAGGAGGAGAAAGCAGAGTAGGAGGAGGAGGCAACAGGAGGCAAAGAGAAATGCCCTGCAATCCTCGGTGGCGGAAGAACATGTGCAAAACTGCTATCCGCCTCAGGCCCAAACTAACAGATGATTTATGTCAGGCGACAATGTAACTGCCAATAGTCAACAATTACGTTCACTGACAGTAAGGCAGTGCCGGTGTCCTAAAGAGAAAAAACCTCTAGAGGTCACACAACAGTGTGACAGGCGTAATTAATACAGTTACTTCACTGCCTCAAAAAAGTGTGATTTTTTTAAACCAACAATGTAAGAGTAGTATTTAAGGGTTTTATTGGACTGCAAGAAATGCACCGCAGGCCGCAAATGTTCTATTTAGCACAAACTAGTGTGATTTTTTTAAACCAACAATGTAACAGTAGTATTTAATGGTTTTATTGGACTGCAAGAAATGCACCACAGGCTGCAAATGTACTATTTAGCACCAAAAAAATTTGAATTTTTCAAAATGCAATGTACCCACGATATTTGATGGTTCAATTTGACTCTCAGATATGAAGTGCACACCCCAAACTTACTTTTTAGCACCAAAGAAATGTGAATTTGTAAAAGTGCTATGTAACCACAGTATTTGATGGTTCTATTTGACTCTCAGATATGAAGTGCACATCACAAATGTACTTTTTAGCACCCAAAAATTTTTTGAATTGGTCAAACTGCGATGTAACCACAGTATTTGACGATTCTATTTGACTCTCATATATGAAGTGCACACCACAAATTTACTTTTTAGCACCAAAAAAAAATGAATTTGTCAAACTGCAATGTCACAGCAGTATTTAAAAATGCCTAGATGTTGCCCACTGAGCTACCAGAACAGATTTAAGTAATGTGCCTGGCACACATGCAGTTGCAAGTGCTCACCTAACAAACAGACTGCTTATTTCTCTGTGGCACTGGGCTCAGAGCAGGGTACAAAAATGTAGTATAGCACCCACAAAAATAATCGCTGTAGTTTGCCGATTCAACACCAGAATTCTTTTCTAATCTGTCCCTCACAGCTGCAGCATCCTCTCCCTACACTAATAAGAGCACATGTGACTCCAGCTTACATTGAGGCTGGGTCACATGCTGCACTGTAGGCATGGCTGTGATGGCTTCTAAGGGCACACGAGTCAAACGCTTGTTGATTGGCTGCCCTGCAGCTTTTCAAAACACGCCATTAAATCTTTTACTGAAATGTCAGAGTTCGGGTTCGGGGTCCAAAAATTGGTTTTGCTCATCTCTACTCATAACATTTGTTTTGGTAATCATAGTATGGAATTTAGTTCAAATATACATAATAATAAACATAATAATAAAAATAATAATAATAATAATCATAAAGAATATCCTCTGTCCACTTACTTGCTGCATCTTCTTCACATCTGCACTGGAATGCCACTATTACTTTCCACTAGCCACTGTTACTGCTTTAATTCTGAACAGACATGCTACTGTTAATGCGATAATTCTATACATACATGCTGCTTATTCTGATGCTGTGTGACAGTTTGGTGTCATTTATGACATGGATCATTCCATTGTAGAGCACACTGTATTGCTAGGAGTGCTCTATTGCCACAGTAAATACAGTAAAAACAGTCAATAGTTTAACTGTTTTAGAATGGTTTAATGTCTTACTTGGGCTCTGTCATGCAAAGCTTCGCCACCTTGACTACTTTTAATAAAAAACTGGCAGCACCTCCTTAGCTCTGTTTACCCTGAACCAATGAGCTAAGCACTGCACCGCCCAGCTAAACTCACACAAAGAGCTACTGATTCTGTCAAAAATAGTGGAGGAAGGAAGTGACACGGGGCATACCACTTGGGTATAAAGGTTTCTGAAATTATTTGATTAAAGGATCCCTATAGGGTCAGGAACACAAATATGTTTTCCTGACCCTGTAGTGCAAAACCCACCATTTAGGTGGCTTGCCCCCCCCGCCCTTAGTCCCCTACAAAAGTTTAAAACTCACCTTATTTCCAGCGCCGCTCAGGTCCGCCGGTGATGGCTCCGCCCCCTTTGTGACTGATTTTTTTTGCCAATTCAATGGGTAAAAATCGGCCATTTCGATCATGTCACAAAGGTTTAGCCAATTCAATGGGTTGGCTAAAATCGGCATGGGGCGGGGCCAAATGCCATTTTGGCCAATTAGCACCTCCTCATAGAGATGCATTGAATCAATGCATCTCTATGAGGAAAATTCTGTGTCTCCATGCAGAGCGTGGGGACGCTGAATGGCAGGGCTGCCTACTGTGCAGCCAGGAAGCCCCTCCAGTGGACATCTGAGGAGTTGTCACTTGGAGGTGTCCCTAGGGGCAATGTAAACACTGTCTTTTCCCTGAAAAGGCAGTGTTTACATGAAAATGCCTGAAGGGAGCTATTATACTCACCAGAACAACTACATTAAGCTGTAGTTGTTCTGGTGATTATAGTGTCCCTTTAATATACAACGGAGGAAGGGGTTTCTCAGTGTTCTTAAAACATAATTTCAACCATAAAATTTAAGGAGGTACCGGCAGACTATTTCAACATAAAAAACAGTAAGGGGCAATAGGAAAAAGCAACTTTTTTGTATTTTTTTGTTATTCATATCATATTTAATTAAAGGTGATAAAAAAACTATTAAATCTTTGAAAAGTCACACTTAGTATAAAAAAATCGTAATAAAAAAATAGCATTTATTTTCAAGAAATATTCTGATACGATGTACATGGTTTACAACTTTAGTCAGTTATGAAGCCTTGGATCAATAAAATCTCACTTATACCTTATTTGAAGTGCATGAAATACATGCAATGACCATAACAGAGAAATCACCATGGCTTATAATATGTTTGATCAATAGTTATAAAGATTCACTATTATAAATGTCTTGCCTTCAATATAGAATGTGCGGTAATCTATATTCTATTTATATGGGGCTGAAAATTCAACTGTGAGGTAAAAGACATAGACAAATCCCTAGCATGATAAGTGCATGAGTGAAAAACATTGTTTTGCTTTGTATTTTGTATTACAGTGATAATACTCAATTTCATTTTTTTATTAGAATTTTTTATTTTTTTTATTTGTTAAAACACCCTATTTTGGAGATTGGATGACTATGGGACACAATGAAGTTAAGAATGATAACAGTTCTCTAGGCAGCATACTGTTAAGGTAGAAAAAAAATCTTTATTTTTCCCACAAAGTTAACCTCTTCTCTTTCAACAATATGTATAAGCAAGTTAACAGGATACTCTAGACACCTAGATCTGCTGGAAAGTTGTATGATTGAAGAGTGTGTCCTGTTTTTTTATTTTTGGTTGTTTTTTTCATTTTGCAATCGTCAAATACTGTGGTTATTCATATTCTAATTTTAGAAAAGTCTGTTTTTCTAAAGTCTAAAACTTTTGAAGAACTGGGATGTTTTCAGCTTCCAGGAATTGTGTACAGATCCTTTCAACATGGGGCCGTGCATTATCATGCTGCAACATGAGGTGGTGGTCATGGATGAATGGCACAACAATGGGCCTCAGGATCTCGTCACAGTATATCTGTGCATTCAAAATGCCATCAATAAAATGAACCTGCATATGCAGATTTGTGCACAATATTTGAGAGAAATAGGCTTTTTGTGTACATAGAAAAAGTCTTAGATCTTTGAGTTCAGCTCTAAAAAAAAATTGTCAATAGTAATATGTACAACAAATTGTGGCTTTATCCTATATTTCTTTTCTAACTCTGCATTCCAGTTTACAAATTAATGTAATGCTAATTTTCTAAATCAAAACTGTAGTGATAGAGTTAAATTATGCTGTAATAAAAGATATCTAGCTCTTTTTATTACTTTATATTACATTTTCTATATTACTCATTGGGATTATTTTGGCACATATGGATCTATTTCAAACATACGCATTTCAGGCGAAATGTGTCCCAATCCGTGCCTTTTCATTAAATCCTTAACATAGAAAGCTTGGATTCAGTAACCAAAATATGACCTTTTGGGATATATATATATATCTAAAGGTTGTCATGGGAGTCATGAGGAAAAGTTTAAAAAGTATAGCAATCATTATTATGGAACTATGGAAACCCAAGGATTGTTCCAGCTGATGGCTACAACTAGATCTGAATCTGAAAATGGTTCCTCATAAGCTTTATATATACCTATTATAATTTATACTCAGTGAAGGTTCAGAAGCCCATACACATAGGTGCCGTTAGTAGGAAGGGTTGGTGCAAGGATTTTTGGCTACATAGATGAATATGCATTTTACAAGCTCTTCCCCCAAAAAATAAATCTTCGCCTATGTGTCTCCTAACCCCTTTTGAATTTACTACAACCTGTTGCCC